CTGGCACTGCTGTGCTGTAGCTGGGCGTTTTTCTTGGTGCTAAGAGCCTCACAGTGAATGCCACCCTGCCCTCATGCGACATGGAGATGGACAATAAAGCAAAGTCCTAGAGCAGCAGGGGAAGAGATAACAGGGATATTATATTAATGAAGGATTCTATAGTAATAAAATACCATGACGATGGATGTGTGAGAAATGCCAATGGCTAGATTAGAGCTGAAACTCTTAAATGAATTGAAAAATGATGGGGACTAAGCACTATCCAATGTTACTATACCAGGAATGATGTTGTAACAAGGTTTCACTGCTTTTGATTCTACCAAACTCCCCTATTCTGATTGGATCTTTGTCCTCACTCCTGCGGTCATCTCCATGTTAGGACATCAACTGGGCGTCATTAGATGTTGGCTATAGAGAAGCCAGGATCAGGGTTCTCTTCCGAAGACTTAGAAATGTCACCCTTCTTTCCCCTGGTCTCCTACCATTACAAGCCAGCAACTACAATAGTGTCATGCGGAAAGTATTTAATTTAAGTTGGGGAGTGGATTAAAAAGGAGAAAAGACCTGAACTTTCCCCCCGAGCTCCTATTAATCCTGAGCCATGTAGGGTGCTGGGAAGAATTCTGTTAACTTTTCATTTCCATGACTTTCCATGTTTCTGGCCATGACCCGCCAGGCCAATGACAAAACATCACCAGAAAATATCTTCTTCCAACACTTCCAACCAGATTTTACAGACTCGAGGGGCTTGTACACCACCGGTGAAGCACCCAATTCAAGCCGAACTGTTAGGAATGCAATTCACCACTCATTAAAACACCGGGGACCCTTCTCTCGTTTTGGTGAAGAGGAACCCAATGACCTCACTGAGGAGATTCAACATCCCATCGAGACTAGCAAGGGCATGGGCCAGGGTTGATTGGGATCTTTCCCTAAGGTAGTGCCTAAGAGGGGAGGGTGTGAGTGAGGAAGTCACCTACTTCTTAGGATCCAAGCATAACCCACACCTGCAGCATCCTCTGCTGTTCCATTCCTGCCCACCCCCAGCTGTCAGAGAAACTCAGTCCTGACCTGCTGCACCATCTGCTGTTCCAGCCCTTGCCTCCTGCACATAACTGCTGATTCATCTCAGTTTTAACTTACAGAATCCCGGCTATTCCAGTCCAGGGCTCCCCACACAAATCCGTTGCACCTAAATCCTGACCTGCAAGTCCCCCTTCCCCTCATTGCAGTCCTGGGTCTTTTTTCTGAAAAAGACTCCATTCATGAAATTTAAAAAAAATAAAAAATTTCTCACCAATACGCAGCTATTCAATCCTTTATTCCCACAGGGAGCAAAACCAAAAATGAAATGGAACATTAAACAACGCTTTACAGCAATGTTCCTTCAATTCTGTGGAATGCACACAGGTTTTAGGATTCAGCTCGTCCCCGTCCCACCCCTCCACCCTCCCTCCCTTTCGAATCAAAGATTTTATCTCAGATCTTTTCATACTTGCCAAAAAACACTTCCTCCCCAGCCCCATAAGAAACCCTGTCTTGTCAAAGCAGGTTTAAAAGCAAGAGCTGATGGGATTCCTAAGTGATCCGCGTGGGAAAGGACACATCTGTCTTCAGACTGAACATGGAGAGAGGGAGAACAAATCACTCTGTTGCTTTTGTTACGTCAATGTTTGTTTTCTGTATCCAAACGTGTAACAGGAAATTAAGCAGTTCACCTTTGTAAAGCATTTTGCATCCTACTTATGCATGAGCCAGATGGTGCTTTCTCTTTGTTTTAAAAGATTAAAAATGGAAAAGGAAAGAAATGGCTAGGAGTTAATCCAAAACCTGGAATGCACTCCCGCATCCCATGCGCCTAGTTATCCGCACTCAGCAGTGGTGGGCGAGGGCAAACACACAGACCAACAGATTTAAGTAAGCTGCAGCCTTCAGAGTGCTGCAGACCTGTCAGATCTTGTCAGTTTTCAGATGGAATCCTTCACAGCCTTCTCAGAAAATGATAAATTACTGTATTCTTCTGGGGCCTCAACCTGGATACACAACACAACACAATGTGATGCAGAAATCACCCGAAATAGAACTTTGCTCCAGGTTCCTACCAACGGGAAATATCCTCAGCAGAAAGGTGTTCTGCCTGGACCCTGAGAAGTTGGCTCAGGGAACTTACTATGGGGGTTATACCCACTGCTTGGTACCATACCCAAAGGGTAAACCTTAAAGGCTGAACTCATCAGCCACATCCTAGTGGCTGCACATGGGAGTCCAAGCCCTACTTTGATTCTCAGACTTGGGATCTTGCTCTCTGTCTGTGTTGCTTCAACAGCAACCATTTGTGGTGTCTGGTCAAATAGCCCTTCATGCTGGGCATAAGCAACAGGGACGGGTGAGCTCTGAAGCCCAAAAGATCCAGTTTTAATGCAAGAGACATTAGGAGTAAAAATCCTAAGATGCATTCAGGGCCAAGAAGCACAGTTGTGGCTGAGGAATTGCTTGCCTTGCCCAGGTTTGCAAGAGAAGCCAATGGCACTATACAACAGGGTTACAGCCAAAGGGTCCCTGCGACCACAGCTACAGAGCCACATCCAACACCAGTGGTGTCACCACCAGCTTTTTGCCCAGAAAGGTGGCAACGGCTGCTAGCAGGGAGCTCAGCAATGCCGACTGCCATTCACAAACCGTATTCCGCCACACAATTCAAACCCAGCAAAGCAAGTCTCATGTTATCAAAGAATGTTGTTGTGCTAAGTGAAAGCAGAAGGGGAGATGGAGACAGTTTGGGGGGAATGTTGGAGCAGAGGACAGAGCAGTTAGGACTCCTGGGTTTTGCTCCCAGCTCCAAGAGGGACATGGCCTGCTAGCTAAGGGAGGGGATAAGGGAATCAAGAGACATGGGTGCAATTCTGTCCTCTGCCACTGATTCACTGTGTGACCTTAGGCAAATCACTTAACCTGCCTGTGCTTCATTTTCCCCATGTGTAAACAGGAGTAATAATAGTGACCCCTACTTCTCCGGCGTGATTGTGGGGACCCTTCAAATGGACAGTGCTAGAGAAGGGCTAAGTAGTAGTAGTTAAATGGGTTAAATGATCAAGATTTATTTTTAATCCTAAAAATTGGCCTCTGAAGAACAAAACTCTTCCCCTGGGACTCTCTGCTTGTATAGAGCACAGTGCCAGGGGCTGCTCTGGCCACACAAGGCAGTTGGTGTGATACAAAGAAAAGCCCACTAGAAACAGATGACTTCTAAAGACGCTGCAGTGACTGGCTGGAAAGGGAGCGTTTTAACTTCCACCTCCTCAGTCAATAAAGACCTAAAAAATCCTTCTGCGAGAAGACGGGCGGGGCCCCAGGACATCTCCATTATAGAGAGTGAAAACGGCCCAGCACAGTCCCTTCATCCACGAAGCTCTTTGCAGTGCTCACTCCTTTGCACAGTACTAGTGGGAAGACAGCGATCCTGCTACTTCGATGACTTACAGAAACCCTGAAGAAGTGAGGTGTAGCCCACGAAAGCTTATGCTGAAATAAATTTGTTAGTCTCTAAGGTGCCACAAGTACTCCTGTTCTTTTTGCAGAAACCCTACCGGGGGGGGGGGGGTTCAATAATGTAGTTAGACGGAGCATATGTTTTCTACAGCCATAGAGAGAAGACTCAGATAATACCAGTTTGACAGCTCATCCTACTCCAAATCCTGCAAGATTCCTCCAGACATCATGCCCACTAACTCCTTATCTAGCCTGGTTCTTAAAATCTCTGCACTGACAGTGTCTTAACCATCCCCACCTTGGCCACTGCTCAATCGCTCTGTTGAGAGCTTTCCTCTGTCCATCGCCACTCTCCATCCCCCCACAAGCTAGCTCCTACCTCATGTTGTTTTAAAACAACGTGGCCATGGATCACTCTGCCCCAAGGTGACAGAAATCAGGTGGAGAATCAGCAGCCCGCTATACAGAACCAGACACCCTACGTTACAATCCGAAAGGACCCAAACCCAGAACGTGCCCTACAGCAACAGCTTCCGCTTTTTATCCTGAAAGACTCTTTTTTTGTGGAGGGCGGGGTGCTGACTCCTCTACACGATTCCCCTCAAAGCAAAACCAATTTTCCACAGCTGAGGAGAGCTTCATTCAGAGCCCATCAGTAAAGCTCCTACATCAGCCAGATGGGGCACTGCAGAGCAACACAAGGGGGTGTGTAAGGACACAGGAATGTGTAAGTATAAATCGCAGAAGATAAGGCTGGAAAGGAGCTCCTGGGTCATTGAGTCGAGTTCTAGCATTTAGTGCTGCACTAAACCCAGGTTTTATTTTCTAGTCTCCTGTTGAACTTCTCTAATGACGGGGCCTGAGCAACCTAGGTTGGCAAATTATTCCATTGTCTAAATAATGTCCCTTTTGAAAGACAGTCCTGAGGTCAAACCTAAATTGCCTATTATTTCCTCTCCTTTATTTTATGCAGTTATCAGTCACTCTTTCAGTTGCCTTTTCTCTATATTATGTTTCTTTAATTGCACTCTACAGATCACGGTCTACAATCCTTTAATCAGCTTTGTCACCCTCCTTTGGAGTCTCTTTAATGCATCAATGTCTTTTTTTTTTAAATAAAGAGAGGAATCAAAAACTGTACATTGCATGTGTGTGTAATGGAGAGTGATGTGTGTGTGTGCATCAGAGAGAGAAAGAGCTGAATATGTAAAAGACGAAGGGAATGTGTGTAAGTGCACGAGTGTGCATTTGTGTCTGAGTTATAAATGTGTATGGGGGTGTAGGTGAGAAGGACAGAGGGTACCGATGTGTGGGTGTGCGCATGCGTGGGTGTGTACACCGATGTGTGCAAGGATGTGAGTCATGGGCGGTTGCGTATGTGTTTCAGGGTTCGTGGGAGCACGGGGGAAGGAATGAACAAGCGTGCAAGTCAGTAGTTTTGGTGGCTGATTGACTGTAGCATTTCCTAGCCTCCCTCTGCCCTTCCAACTCTGGCGCTGGAGCTGCCTTACCCTGTAGTAATCAGTGCTGTAGACATCTCTTGACATCCCAAAGTCGCCAATCTTCACCAGCAGGTTGGCTCCAACCAAGCAGTTCCTGGTTGCCAGGTCTCTGTGGACGAAGTGCTGGGAAGCAAGGTACACCATTCCAGAGGCAATCTGGCTGGCAATGTGCAGCATCTGGGACAGCCCCAGCTCCCCCTTGGCCTGTCGAGGCTGCCCGTCCACCAGGATCATAGCATCTGGGCCGTGCGCCCTGCAGGGGAAAGAGCAAAGAGCACAGAAGTGGGTATCTAAACAACCAGGTGGCAGGGATCTCAAACCACCTCCATTCATCCTGGAGTCAGGGCATTGGGCCCCAACTCTGAGACCTTCTCAGTGCACCTGGATGATTGGCTTCTATGCGCAGATCTATTGGAAAGATGGAGCCAAAACAAACATGAATGCCCTCAAGATCTGGAAGTTCAGTTCAGTTAACTTTGCCCCCCATAAAACCTTCTCCAAATATTTAGAGATCTCCCTTTCTTCTAATCCCATCATTCCCTGGCTCCCCAGTGGCCTCTCTCTCCTCAAACAGGTTGCCTTTTTCCCACCAAACTCCTTTTCACCAGCCCCCACTATGTCCTCTGCTCCTGGTGACATTCCACGAAGCGAGGCGGGGGGGAGGGGGATTCCTGCTGGGCTTCAGATGTCACACACTCCTGGGCTTCCTTGGGTCAGAGCCCCAACTGTAACCCTGAGGCAGCCCTGGAATTTGTAAGCTTGGACAGGAGCTGAAAGTGGCAGGCAGAGGCAAGGCATGGGTGTGGGGTGACTTGCAGGGTCACATGCCCTCCCAGAGTTGCTAGCAGGGATTAGACCCTACAAAGTCAGGGGAAATCCTGGGCAGCACAAGGTCTACGTATAAGACACAAATGCATTCTAGGTTCGGACTCAAGGTCAGCCTCCTTGCTGCCCTGCCTGCCCAGTTCCCCTCACATACTAAGCCTGTCTTTGCCACACTATCTCCACGGTGGCGTCTCTCCCCTACTGGAGTTCACCCTCTGGTTGCCTGTGTGGAGGTGGAATAGGAAAAACATTCATATTTAGGGGAAAAGCAAAAGATTTTGCTGTGATCTTCTTCCTCCTGATTAGATACAGAACAACGTTTCCTCTGGGGCTTTCCTACCACTCTCTTCTAAATGATTCTTGGCATTTCATCAAGCAAATTGAAACTGCACGTACAGAGCTGTACCTCCTTCCCTGCTTTGAGCTAAACATCCCCACAAGATCAGAACTGTTTGTCTACTTTTCTTAAGTGCTTGGCTGGGCTCTGGGATGAGCACTGGGATTAGTGTCCAGGTATTTCGGGTTCAGCTGATTCCATTTTTCAGATGCCACTTCTTCAAATGCCTATTGCCTCCCTGCCACCACAAATACAACCCTAAAGCTCCCCTACAAGACAGCAGGAGGAGCTCTGAAAGGGAAGGTGAACTCTACAGGTGGCACTAGGGAGCAGGGAGTGCTGCAGACAGAGGTGGAGATGTTGCAGAGAGCAGGAGGTAGGAATGCTGCCGACAGCACAGGGCTAGGGTTGGAGGAGCTGGGCTGCGGGGTAGAAATGTCACAGAGATTATGGGGCTAGTTGCAAAGAGCAGGTGGGATGATGAGAGGAGCTGTGGACTGAGAGAACTTGTTAGGGAATGTTGCAGAGTGCAAGAGGAGATTGCTGAAGAGAGTATATAAGATGAATGATTGATGTCTTATTTAAACATCCTAAAGCCTGTTTTATACCAGGGAAATTAACTGTTGTTGACAACACATGTCAGCAGTAGGTGGAGCTGAGCTGGTGCTGAGCACGGCTGAGCGACAAACATACACCAGAACAAACCACAGCGTCTGAAACAATGAAGAACACAGCTGGCCACGTTCTGCACTTGCAATTGGACCCTGCTCATCAAGGTTCGACTGGCTGACACCTGTTGTCAGCAACGAGTAATATTTCTGGTGTAGAACAGGTCTGGAAGCGAGCAACGTGTTGTTGATAGATGGTTGTTTGATCTGCTGCTCATTCCAACTCCCAACAGACCAAGAGGCACCAAAGAAATCTCTCTTTCTGCCTGTCTAGGTAAGGAACACAGGTGATGTTTAAAACATATTAGCTGGTCCAGGTCAACCTCAGAGGGGTGCACAGTTACCCTCAACCAGCTAACACTTTTGTGACACCCTGTTTACACTAGTGTCTAAATTAGTTAAAACCTTTTAAAATGCAACCTATTCTCCTAGTCTAGACAGGCCTTTCCTCCCTCCCTGTAGCTGGGGTAGTGTCAACAGGCTAATGCCATTAGTATAAGTGACAACAGTGCATCCAGTTTTATGGAGAAGGCTGCAGAGAGCATGAGAAGGCGGGTTGGTCTGTCACTTTCTCAGAGCATGGGGCTAATTCGGTTTATTAAGGATTGTAAAACCGGGCAGATTCTCAGCCCATCAGAGGGGTTTGTTCTTTGGGGATAAAACACCGCAGTTCATGCGATGGACATTTGGTCAGCATGGGGCAGAAATCCCCTGTCTTCAATGAGCACTGTCTTTTTTTGCCCACAGCTGTTTGGACACTAGAGCTGTTAAAATTATACTACTATGACTTTTTTTTTGTAATGGATAGCTTGTATGTTTGTTCCTTCTTTCTTCATAATCAAAAGACTACAAAAACTTCCAAGAAACAATGGTCTGTGAGCAGGGAGCAAGTCTGGAGTATTTAATAAAAGAGGAAAATTAAAGATGACTGCAAATAGGGATTTACAATGGAAATTTTAAAGTAACCTTAACTCTAGCTGGTGCTACCACCCACGCTCTGATTTTACACACATACATAATCAAAATGCTACACAAACTTCCAAGAAACAATTGCCTCTGAGCAGGGAGCAAGTCTGGAGATTTTAATAAAAGAGGAAAATTAAAGGCGACTGCAAATAGGAGTTTACAATGGAAATTTTTAAGTAACCGTCACTCTAGCTGTTTCTGCCATCCAAGCGCCAAGTTTAATACACACACACACACACGCGCTCGCTTTCTGTCCTTCTCCATGGCTAGATAGAGAGGGAGACAGACATGCAGTAAACACAGAGGGAAAGAGGATATTTGAACACCATAGAGATGCGGAGCAGCCACCAATGGTATGTGCACAGCAGGGGCTCTGCAGCCTTGTCTTGCATAGCAGCTCTAGTGAACTCCCAGGTTTCAGAGTAGCAGCCGTGTTAGTCTATATCCGCAAAAAGAACAGGAGTACTTGTGGCACCTTAGAGACTAACAAATTAATGGACACAAATCTGACATCAGGAATCATAATACTCAAAAACCAGTGGGAGAACACTTTAACCTGCCTGGTCATTCAATGACAGACCTGCGGGTGGCTATTTTACAACAGAAAAGCTTCAAAAACAGACTCCAAGGAGAGATTGCTGCGCTGGAATTGATATGCAAACTAGATACAATCAATTTAGGATTGAACAAGGACTGGGAATGGCTGAGCCATTACAAACATTGAATCTATCTCCCCTTGTAAGTATTCTCACACTTCTTATCAAACTGTCTGTACTGAGCTAGCTTGATTATCGCTTCAAAAGTTTTTTTTCTCTTACTTAATTGGCCTCTCAGAGTTGGTAAGACAACTCCCACCTGTTTATGCTCTCTGTATGTGTGTATATATATCTCCTCAATATATGTTCCATTCTATATGCATCCGAAGAAGTGCGCTGTAGCCCACGAAAGCTGATGCTCTAATATTTGTTAGTCTCTAAGGTGCCACAAGTACTCCTGTTCTTTTTAGTGAACTCCCAGGCTCCCTAGTAAGTCAGCCCTGGAGACCCCCTGCTCCCTGGAGAGGGATGTTTACACTTCTCCCTGACAGCTCTTTCGGAGGGAGCAGCCATTTCAACGCTGGCCTTTTATCAGCCAGGACACTGCAATTTGCAGCAGGCCTTTTTGTATTTCCTGACGGGCCGACGGCAGCCTGACACGTCTGATCTGCCGCCACCAGTGGCGAGAGGAGCAGCCAGGCTGCATGAGGGCTGGGAGTGAAGTATGAAGAGAGACCACCCTGTGGCACTCAATCCCCAGTCCAGCTGGCAGGTGTAAATTGAAATGACTCCCCTTGCCACATCGGTCACCTTTATTGTTCAGTGTTTTCTCTGAGAGGCCATAATAAAAACTGGGGGACTTTTATTTATGATGCTTATCTGTGGGAAGCCCAGGCTAAAGTGAGCCCGCTCCCATTTTACTACTTTTTCAATTTCTATTGAAAGGTGTAGTTAAACTTGGACAAGTTCATTTGATTTACTCCTGAAAGTAGCCCCTGCCCCTCTGGCCCTGGGAGCAGTGCTGGGTGATGTATGCCAAAGAAAACTTCTGCATGCCTCCTGCAGGGTAAACACCCAAAGCAAGGAATGCACCTGAGTGGACAGTGCTACGTCTGCATGGGTTATGTCGCTCAGGGGTGCGGCTAATTCACACTCTTGAGTGACATAACTAAAGCTGTAGGTAGCTATGGCCTAATATCCTGGGACCAACACAGCTAGAATAATCCCAAGGGCTTCAGAGACTGGTCCACATTCAGCCCCAGGCTAACCTGGGGTAATATCTGCGGAAGTCAGTGGTAGTTAGGCCCTCTCCTGCCAGGGCTAACTCCTAACCAGCACTGATGTGCAGCCACCACTGTTGTGCAATGCAGCAGCTGCTTCATGGTGCACAATAACGCTGCAGAAGACCTTAAGGAAGGCAGTGAAGAAGGACCTTGAAGCTGATGGGTGAAATTAAAGAAGAATGTTATTATCCTTGCTGAGGTTTTGACAGTGTCTGGGCGTGAACTCCCCTTTCTGAGGGAATGCGCTGGGGATTTTAAGTGACACAAGTGGCCAGGGCCTGGGCTTTATGCCCTGCCTGAAAGACGGCACTTCCCTATCGTTTCAGCAAAGAGAGGTGTGGCGAGTCCCTGTTCCAGTTCCTTCAGAGGCTCCTCTGCAGCAAGCAAAAGAGAGGCCCTATTTATCTGATGTAAAGACCTTCATGCCTAAGGAGACCTGACTCCCGTTCCCCGCCCAGCGCCTCTGGGCTGGCTACACAAAGGACTCAGTGTACGCTCACAAACAACAAGACAGGGCTCAATTCATGGCTCTGCCTGAGCTCACTGCCCAAGGGAGAGAGGTTCCGTCTAGCAGCCTCCCTTTCCCAGGGCTGCCCTCTCTCTACCTCATCCCCTTTGTGAGGATGGCAGCACAGATGCATTAGTGAATCAGGCTCAGGGGATTCATGGTCTCTCTGAACTCCCCGAGCTTTGTGGGGTGTTCCCTTGGCCCAGGTGTCTCTTGGAGCCCTCCTGTCCCAATAACTAGGCTGGTGTCTCCTCCCATCACTAGTAAAAAAGGGGCTAGGGGATGCGAGGCAGCTACTGATGTTCCAGAGTGTCCATTCTGCCCACCACATAACTCCCCAGAGAAGGGCGCCCGGGGATGACCAAAGTATGAGGGAAAAAGCATCCAAAAGGTGTAAGACTGTAATGCCTGGGACTACTAGGTAATCCAGGGATTGGACTCCATCACATGGAGCCAGGACAGTAGGGCATAATACAGTAATGAGACAAAGACCCTCCCTAATAGGTGATTCCAGAGAGTCCATGTCCCACCCAGGCACTCTTCAACCATGGGTTATCTCACTTAATGAGGCAAATTGTTGCTTGACTCCAATACAACCCTGGAAGTGTGGGGGTGGAATGGCTCCAAGGCCTTCATCTGGAGTACGAATGTCTGTGTAAAGCCAGGCCCCAGAGCTCTGGCAGCGGAAAGGAACAAGGAATGGCTTTGTCACGCTGCGGTGTCCAGCTGGCCTGTTCTGGAGCATTCTGTTTGGTGAGGTCAATTAAAGGAGATGTCAAAGTGGTACAATAGGTTATGACTCACCTGCAATATCTGGCTAGTCCTAAGGAGGACAAGGCTTGCAAATTTTTTTTTTTTTTGCCAGGGAATGGTGACTCCACTTCATCTAAGAGCAGATGGATTTTCTCCTTTTCTATTAAATACCTCAAGTACTTGGTCTCTCATGCTTTTCTCTGGGCTGGCTTCCTTCAGCAACACACTGTCCTACAGGTTGTATCTGCACTCCGAACTAAATGAAGGACCATCTCATCCAAATAGGCAGCCACATGCTCACAATGATGGCAGGGAGAGGTGGTCCATAAACTGCTGGAAGGTGGTGGGGTGCCACACAAGGCATGGTAGTGAAATGGCAAAGACCCGGAGTGGGGAAGGCTCGCTTCTCTTTGGATTTGGCTGTGAGGGGGGCCTGCCAATGCCTCTTCGGTATGTCTAATAAAGTGATGTATTGTGTTGTTCCTAACTTGTCAAGCAGCTCATCCCACTAGGGCATAGGATAGGAATCGACCTGTGAAATCACATGCAGTTTCCTGAAGTCTGCACACTACCACCAAGACACCTCTGGCTTGGGGATCAAAATGCTGGCGCTGCCCCCCAAGGACTGTGAAACTCCGACATCAGTGCGAGAGCCGCCTTGCAGAGCTCTGGGGAGAGGTGAACCTTTCAAGAGCCATTCCCAGAGCCTCATCACTCAGGACACTTGTTTAATAACCCAAACCTTTGGGGAAGGATTTGTTTTTCCCGGTCAGAAATCGATTGCAACAGTGGAGCAATAATCTCAGTGAACAGGAGAACCCCAGTTCCGGCACTGACACCACGTTCAGCTCCTCATTCCTAATGCAATTATGCTCATGTTTAGCAGTCAAAACACAAAAATATCAAGGGTCCAATTTTCTAAATACTTGGAAATAAAGCTAGTAATTATTTCAAGAGGTAAGCGCCACTCCACTTACAGTACAAGCTTTAGAGCATGATTTCTGCATCACAGGAGACTAGCATCAGACACATTTGCTGTCTGCTCCACACCACTCAGAGATTTGAAACAGGGCTACGTTAACACAAACTGAAACCTTTTTGTTCACACCAGGAGGGTCAACACAGGGCAGGCAGAGCACCTCTCAAATCACACCCCTCTAATGCGCTTTACCATGCGGTATAGACAAGCCCGGCTGGTGTTTTAATCTCTACCACTCTAGAGGCAAGTGAGGCAATTATTGAAATGGGGCCAGCCTACAATAGCTCCTAATTCCCCTAGGATTCCCCTAGGACATCTGGATCACAATTGGGACCTCTAACCAGAATTAGTGAGCAAAGGTCCAGTGTTTGGGTCTAGTGGCACCCCAAAATTAGATCTCTGGATCTAGAAAGGGGAACTGGAAATCTCACAGGATCTCTAACCACTGATGCCAGCCAGGTCAGACATCCTGAAAGTACAGCTTCTTTAGGGTAGAGTTTTGGTATTTTTACTCCTGGCCCCATCAGGATTCTGAGGTGGGTGATGCGCAAAACGAAATGCATGGCAGCAGAACAATAACCTCGTTTTTACAAACCAGAGAAAGTGTTCAGGGGGGTCAGTTCAGTCCTTGGCTTTGTTTGGCACAGGAATTTCAAAGCTGCTGAAAGGTGTTGATTTGCCAGCCCTGCAGACTGCAGCTCCCTATCCATAGCATTCCCAGGCTGCCTCCTGTCTCAAACCTGCTTTGACCATATGGACACCCTCTAAGGATGAGGACAGGGCCGGCGCTTCCACTAGGCGACCCTAGGCAGTCGCCTAGGGCGGCAGGATTTGGGGGGGCGGCATTTTGCTGCCCTCGGTGGAAATTCGGCGGCGGGGGGGGCCTTCCGCTCCGGGTCTTCGGCAGAAATTCGGCGGCAGGTCCTTCACTCACTCCGGGACCCACCGCCGAAGTGCCCCGAAGACGCAGAGCGGAAGGACCCTCCCGCCACCGAATGCTCAAAGGAGGAGTGCTGCCGCCTAGGGTGGCAAAAACCCCGGCGCTGCTCCTGGATGAGGAAGAAGTCCAGTCTGCATGGCTCTCTGTGGAGAGTGCTGACCCCTGTCTGCTGGAAGCTGGACTGGGAAGACCGACTCATGTTATCTAGGCAGTCAAGTAGTCACTGGACAGTAACAATTTTTGGTCCCTACTGGCTTGGCCTGGATTCAAAGCAGTGACCCAGAGGAGGAAGGTTCAGTGGCCCCTGCCCTGCCCTCTCAGCAGTCAGCTCACGCTTACCTCAGGAACTTATTCAGGTCCCCATGCTTCATGTATTCAAAGACCATGATGAGAGGGTCCCCGTCACCGCAGACCCCATAGAACTTGACAATGTGCTCATGCTGCAGGTTGGTGAGCAGCTCTGCCTCCCTCTGGAAATCCTTGCGGGCTGCCAAAGTGGGGTCTTTCAGAGCCTGGAAGAGGGGAGCATACAAACAGAATTGGGAGGGTGTGAGTCAGAATGACCAGGCCTGGTCTCTCCAGCATTGGGCTCTTCGGGGTAGAGGATTCTGCAGAGTGACATTGCCTGTTACACGAGGATCTCAAAGCACTTTACAAACAGCTACGAATTAAGCCTAATGGCCCCATTGTGAGACAAACCATGTTCATTATCCACATTTTATTGATGGAGAAACAGTGAGCTGTCCAAGGCCACAAAGTGAGTCAGTGGCAGAGCTGGGAACAGAATCCTGTAGTGCCAGCGCCAGTTTCATGCTCTAACTGCTGCACTGAGCTACCCTCCTCCTGAAACCCAGCCTGGGCTGACACTGAGGGGGGAACCCAAGAGTGGCTGGGGGAAAGGGTAGCATTGCCTGGATCTGCTGAGTAAATCTGGAGAGCGAACAGATGGGAAGAGAAGGAAGCTAGAGGAAGTTACAGGTGGGCTGGAGACCTTTTATAGGAGCTGCCCTCTTGCATGAAGTGCACTGTTCCTAACCCTTCAATATGGTTTGGGTTTGGTTTGAACCTGGGACAAGGCCAAAGTCTGTTTGGATTTTAGGAGGAGGAGTTTGCCTTCCCTACCATTAAAGTCCAGTGTCTTACCAGCAGGTGCTAGAAATATCACAGATCTCTTCACTTCCCTGCGACAAGGAGAGACAACCTGCTCCTTTCCCACTAAACACCTGACGGTTTGGGGGCTTTGTTGTGGGACCCATCACGGAGTTCACGGTCTTCTCACAGTGCTGTCAAAGGGGCCTTTACTCCCTACCTATGTGCCTCAACCATACCCTGGAGGCACCTCCTGTAGGAGTTGGCAAAGGTGGTACGGCTCCATGGCACCAGTCAGCTCTGCTGAGCTTGAGCCGCAGTTACCGCCACTAGGCTGGAGTTTCTTCCTATGTGGACAGCAGCCTACTTGGCAATAGAGCTCATTCCCCACCTCATTTCACAGAGAGCAGCAAACAGCCCTCAGAGGGTAATAGATTCCCATTCTTACCAGCTTGGGCAGGATTTCAACTGGTGACCTAGGGGCGAAAGGCTCAGTATCTCATTATTACTCCGCTCCTGAGCCAGCCAGCCCCCTCTAGCTGTCTTTTCTTTTGAAATAGCTGACGCCGCCTCCTTTCTTCTGAAGACGGATTTGCTGGGCTGTGCAGTTATTGGGAGGATTTTTCAAAATGCCTCTGAAGGACACTGTCAAATCTTTCCTCATCATTTTTAAAATCATGTTTTTATTCCCTGCTGTTTATAACAGCTCCCTGAGAGATTGATGCTGAAATCTGTATCCTTACCAAAAACATCTCCTTTAGCACATTTGAGCACACCGGTTTGCTGCTGTTATAGGGTAGCTTACAAGAATGCACACACTTGTTATTGTAGGGTGCTGGGAGGACTTGACTGCACATACTTCCTGAGTATACGGTCAGGTTCTGCATGAGTGCAGGGCTGTACACACTGTTTATTATTGTACAGTTGCTTATGGAGGTTGGTTTGGACACTGCTTTGTTATTGTAGGTGTAATAAAATAAAAATAAAAAATATATGGAGATATACCTATCTCGTAGAACTGGAAGGGACCCTGAAAGGTCACTGAGTCCAGCCCCCTGCCTTCACTAGCAGGACCAAGTACTGATTTTGCCCCAGATCCCTAAGTGGTCCCCTCAAGGACTGAACTCACAATCCTGGGTTGAGCAGGCCAATGCTCAAACTACTGAGCTGTCCCTCCCCACTATCGTTTTGGGAGAATCATTACAAATGCCATGGACTGCGAACCTTTACGCATCAAAAAAGGCTGGTCAGATTTAGTGCCACTTGATCATAACAATATCCCTTGAAATTATTTCTTCTTGGGTGCCCACCCTACCAGGACATCTGCTGTCTGCTTACCAATCTCTGTCTGTGTAATGATGTCATTGGAGTTACCACAAACCCCAGTCCTTCTCTTGTCAGTCTGTAAACTCATACGGTCACCTCACTGATTGGGGACTAAGGACGAGACACTGCTCATCTTACTCATGCCTGGAATTCAAAGGCACAAATAGTCAGAGGAAGGTCAGCAGAACTTGGCTGTAAATGATGCACTGGAAGACTGTTCAGCATTTAGGAAGCGCTTTCTCATTTGCTGTGTCTTGAGGCAGTGGATCTATCGAGTGAGATGCTGAAAATAAATCCAGCCTGTCCTGGAGCTTTGTCAGGCTAGACCAGTGGCTCTCAAACTTTTGTACTGGTGACCCCTTCCAAATAGCAAGCCTCTGAGTGAGACCCCCCCTTATAAATTAAAGACACTTTTTGTATATTTAACACCATTATAAATGCTTGAGGCAAAGCAGGGTTTGGGGTGGAGGTTGACAGCTCGCGACCCCCCATGTAATAACCTCACGACCCCCTGAGGGGTCCCGACCCCCAGTTTGAGAACCCCTGAGCTAGACACTAAGCTTAGCAAAGTGGCAAGTGCTCTTCTTCCATCCATGTGCTTTTCCCGCTGAACCAATCTCCACAGGTTATTATCCAAGCATGAGGCCACACCTCTTTGTTCCTTCCCCCACCCTACACCCGCTCAACACATGGTAGAACTTCATTTTAATTCTCTGCCCTCACGGG